GAGGCTGAAAGAATATTGATATTTGCAGATTATATTCTTCCATTTAGGCGTTGGAGGGATGGGACGCAAACAGTTCAGTGGCTACAGTAGGCAAGGTGATTGACACATGACAAGAGTTGAATGTGTCATCAACCTAAAAAAGCATCTGTTTTAGGTGCTCTGGACAATATAATAATTAGAGCTGAGGTCCCATGCTTTACACTTTATGGTAGAAATTTCAGCAGAGAAGAAACGTACAGGTACTGGAGAATCAACTTCGTTAGAAGATTCTAATTTCAGCTCAAAAGCAAAAGCAGATACACAATACAGTGTGAAAAATCTGTACCAATTTTGAGAGAAAAACTATTGTTAATTATAATTAACAAGTCTACCCCTACTCCTCGCCCACCCCAAAAAAAAAAAAAACTACCTCAAGATCAAAACTGCAGTCAATGACCTTTGTGGTAGAAGCACATTGGGGAGGATCCTCTGTTAGGAATAGGAAATGCACCGTGAAACAACTTTATTGTGGAGGGCAGATCAGACTCTTGGCTGCCAGCTGGTGTAGGAGGGAAGCATTGCTCTTCTTATCCAGCATTTTCTGCAGCCTGCTTTGTTCCAAACATACTCATGTTATCTTTCCTGGGAGTTAAAAAGGCAGGTCGAGAGAGAGAGAGAGAGAGAGAGAGAGAGAGAGAGAGAGAGAGAGAGAGAGAGAGAGAGAAATCATGATGCATAGGCAACATATGGTCTCTACAATACTGCCCAGGCTTTGTTCTATGGAGAGGATGACTTTTCTTAACATAGGCGAGTCTTGCCGGTCACACTCACTATCACCATGTGCTGTGAATCTCATGCCTCCTCATAGGGCAATATAACACTCATCATCATCATCATTATCAACAGGTGCCTTGCCGACTGGCTTGGGCGATCATGCCTCTCCATAATCCACGATCTCCTGCAACATGTATCAGTTCGTGTGCCGACACACCTCCATGCCATGCAACAAGACTGTCAAGAATCTTCTCTCGTTGTCTTCCTCTATCCCTCCTTCCACAGATCTTTCCAGTGGTCACAGCATGTTCAATTTTTCCTCTTCTCATAATACCGAAGAGTGCCACTTAAAAGACTTTATATGGAGTTAACTCACTTACATAATACTCCCATCTTCTCTGTTTTTTTTATTGTTTGCATAAGTTACATTTTCATTTGTAGTTCATTCAACTATTTTAGCTTGCCATAAGGCCTTTCTGTCTTTCTCCCCATCTTTTGCTAAGGTTTTTTTTTTACATAATTCTAATTTCTCTTTTGCCATTCTTCTAATAATTTATCCGGTACATTTCATGTGTCTTTTTCTGATGAGTTATTTTATAATATTGCATTTTTAGTACTTCATTTCTTTTTTCTTCTGTGTTCATGCTCTTAACTGCCAAGAAAAACAAGCTGCCATTTATAATCATCATCAGGTACCTTGCTGACTGGCATGAGTGATCATGCCTCTTTGCAATCTACAATATCCTGCAGCATGTATCAGTTAGTGTGCTGAAACACTTCCATGTCAAAAATCTTCTCTCGTGGTCTTCATTTCTCCCTCCTTTCACAGATCTTTCGTGGTCACAACATGTTAAATTTTTCCTCTTCTCATAATATGGCTGAAAAATGAAGACTGTCTTCTTCTGATAAGTTATTTTCGGGCTCCCATCTCTTTCAAAATCTCTTGGTTACTCTTTTTGGCTGTCCAAGGTATTTTAAGCATTCTTCTGTAAAACCACATCTCTGAGGCCTCAAGAAATTGTTTTACCTGCCTACTGATTGTCCAGGACTCACAGCCATATGTTAAAACTGGATGTATGTAGCAAGCAATAATTCTTTTTCTAACCTTCAATGACATAAATATATTGTGTAAGATGTTCTTCATTTTATAAATGCAGTTTGTCTGTCCTATTCTGTTTCTTATCTCTGTGATGCATCTTCCATTTGATTTAATCCATGTGCCCAGATACCTAAATTTCTGTACTTGTCACAAAATAATGCCATTGACTTTTATTACACATTTAGGAATAATTCTTTTCTTTGATACCATCGTTGCTTCTGTCTTTTGATTATTTAAACTGAGGCCCATTCTTCCACTTTCTAACACCACAATGTCTATCATTTCCTGTAGTTCTTTCTGACTTGTTGCTATCAAGACTGTGTCATCAGCATAACCTAAATTGTTAATATTATGCCCACCAACCACAATTCCAGTCCTGTCAAGTTAAGATCTCATTATATATTCTCTGTAAAATGAAAATAAATCAGGTGACAGTAAACATCCTTGTCATACACCCTTCTTTATGTTCTGAAATGTACCTAAACAGTTGTTAATTCTGCTGCTTTTTGCTGCCAATACATATTCTTTATTATTCGTATATTTTTTCTATCAACTTTTAATTTTTCTAGTAGTTTGATTACTTTTTTGTTTCACACGGTAAATGCTTTTTATAAAGTCTATGAAGCATAATTACAAATCAGTCTTTACTTCTATAGCTCTTTCTGACAATGTCCTTAGGATGTATATGGCATTGTTTGTTTCTTTTTCTTCTACAAATCCACATTGTTCATCGCTGATTTCTGGTTTAATTTTGCTTCTTATTCTTCTCATAATTATTCTCAGTAAAATCTTAGTCATATGACTCATAAGACTTATTGTGTGTGTTTGTCTTCATATTTTAAAGTGCTTGGTTTCTTTGGCAGAGCTGTAAATATGGATTTTAAAAGGTCATTTGGTATGTACCCACTATTATAAATATCATTAAAAATTTTAGTTATTATTTTAATTCAGAACCTCCCAGTGCTTCAGTTTCTTGCAGTGAGATGTTGTCTGGCCCAGGTGCTTTTCTTTTCTTATGTAGTATAATGCATCTTCAACTTCTGCAACCAGTATTAGTGGACCTTCATTGTTGGCCAGCAATTCTACATCTGGTCTATTATTATCATACAATTCCCATATATGCTCTGTCCATCCGTTAATTATATTACTTTATCCCATTAAAAAGTCACCATCTTTTGATTTGAAACATCCAGTGCTGTTACTTGTCATCTTTCATGTTATCATATTTATCTGTTGGTACATATGATTTCCCCCAAACATCTGTACACATTTGATTCAGGCAGGCTTCTTTAGCCACTTTGCATTTATTCACTATTTCTTTTTGTATTCTAGAATAGTCTTCTTCATCATTCTTATTCTTCCTTCATTCATCCATCAACTGCAGAATTTCGATTGACATCCATTTCTGTTTTGCAACTCTATAGATTGGTGGGATTGTCTCTTTTGATGTCTGCTGAATTGACTCATGCAACAGATCCCACTGTTCATCAATAGCCAGTATAATTTCTGTTGCATTATACCGGTTTTGTACAGTGACATTGTACTGTTCCCTAATTTCTTTACCTGTTCTAAGTATTCCTAAATTTAACTCAATGTTCTGTGGTGTTTTCTTAATATTCTTTTATTCTAATCTGTTCTATAACTGGAACATGGTCACTAAAGCAGTCTGCTCCTGGTCTAGTTTTTGCTCCAACTAATCTGCTGCGGAATCTTCTTGAAATCAAAATGTAATCAGTCTGATTGTGGACGTTATCGCCAGGACTTTTCCAAGTCCACAATCTTCGAGGATGGTGTTTAAATTAGGTGTTAATTATTATCATGCTGTACGACTCAGCACCTGCTATTTATCTGTCACCTCTCGCATTATTTTCTCCTAGGCAATAGCCACCCGTTATTCTGTACACTTTTTCACTTCCTATTTTCGTGTTGAAATCTTCAATCACCATTGTTACTTCACAGTTTTTGCATTGATCAACAGCCATGTCTAACTCGTCATAAAATATGTCAATATTTTCTTCTGATCTATCTGCTGTTGGAGCATAAAGCTGTACTAAGTTGATGTCTGATGTCAAACGGTCTGCCATGAAGTTTTACTAATAGTACTCTATCTGATATTGTCCAAAATCCTTTCACAGTTTTTGAGTTCTTTGGATCCAAAATAATATAAACTCCCTTAATATATTCCTTGCCTGAGTAAATAATTATATGCTGATCTGAATACTTTTTCCATGCTACTGGCTATTGCATTTCACTAATTCCTAATATGTTGATGTCTATTTTCCTAATTTCCATTTTTATGTTATCCAAATTTCTGTTTTGTGCGAGTGTTCTGAATTCCTTGTACCACTGCTCAGATGTTTCTACCATTTACTTTTTCTACAGTAGCTGGATGACGGTCGGGTATCACCCATAGAACATGATGCTCCCTACAGGATGAGGTGATTCTAGTGGAATCGCCATTCACGTTGTTACACGTTGTAATCTGAATTCATTATGTTTCGAGGCCTGATTTTTCTAGGGATAATACAGCGGTGATTTTTCCTTGTCTTCCACTGGTTTGTATATGGTTTGACTCCAATAGTCTTTGTCTAAAGAGACATACCCTGCAAAGCAGCAGGGGGGGGAAGAGATTATGGCGCCTCTTTTGCTGTGTAGGGAGGGAGTCTTTTAGCCTGAGATTTAGGGCTGCATGGTTAGTGCTGGCACAGACACTATGCAGTTTACCCTCCATCCCCCCATTTGCCCAGCCCATACTGTTAACATTCTTTTTAAAGACTGCAACTCCATTTAAATCAGTAGTCTCTTCTTCTTCTTCGCGTTCACCAGCTGTACACTCTGGCAGAAAGTTCTGGTTGCTCGTCCACTACTGAACTGCAGTCCTGCTTCAGAACCTGAGTTTTACAGATCTCATTCTCTTGAATACAGACTGTTGGTTCCTTGCCTCTCCGGCAGATGCACTTCGACTTCAAAGGAAGCTCCCCAATTAGTCAACTCTTACGACATGCTTTTGGGGAGGCAGTGGGTCTATTCTTGTTTTCCCCACAATGAGGCCCCGAAACCCTCACGGGCGAAAATCAGTAGTATCCTGACCATGTTGTGTAAAATATTTTGCTATGTATTTTTAACTATTCTGATTTTTTCTTTCTAGGATTTAGCAGCTAACGTGTTTGGATCTCAGAACACATTGACCTTCTTGAAGATGGATGGTAATTCGTTAGGAAATCTGCAGAGTGATATTTTTGAAGGTGTGCATAGTTTGAGGGAGTTGAGTGCAAGAGACTGCAGTCTGGTACACATTGAACATGACATATTTTTATATTTGTCTGCACTTACTGTTATTGATCTAGGTCAAAATTGTTTAACTTCTACTCCATCCTTATCAGTTCTTTCAAAAGTCATTCTTAGAATTGTACTCTTAGACCATAATGAAATTAAAGTTTTGCATCAAAGTATATTTGAAGGTGTGCATCTAAAGACTCTGGACTTGTCTTACAACCGGATCAACAAAATTGATCCTTTGGCTTTTGTTAAAACCACATTATATAACCTGGATCTTTCTTATAATTCACTTATATCATTGAATCGTAATGCATTACAACCTTTAGGGAAACAATTGATTCATCTGAATTTAGCAGGAAATCCACTACATCAGTTGCAGACAAATGTATTTGAAGACCTTGAACTGTTGGAGACATTAAATTTGTCATCCTGTTCTTTGGACAGCCTGGAGCATGGTCACTTACAAAAGCTTTCATTGTTGCGTGAACTGGATATTTCACATAATAATCTTTATTTTCTGTCACAGTCTATTTTAGATTTATTTAGTAAACTGACAGCTGTAAGGTTGCATGAAAATATGTGGGTTTGTGATTGTCACATTCAGTTTTTGCGTGACTGGATAGCACTCTCTTCAAGTTCTTCTAAAATTCAGTGCCCTTCTGACCATGAACAGCACAGAGACTGCAGACAGATGCTCTGTTCTTTGCCATCGAATTTACAGAGTACTATAATTGTGCAGCTGAAAGATAAGGAATTAGGCGAATGTTTGCAAGAGAAGACAAAGACTCTGCCAACAAGCACGCAAGGAGTGATTGTTGCTTCCTGCTTGGTTTTTGCCATTGTTTTGTTAACAGTAGCAATATTTTTATGGCGGCGAGGTCAAACGCATCATGATTTAAAAAGATTGTGTGTGCCATCAGTAGCAGAAAGCTCACATATTGTTGATGAGGATTCTAAAGTATCGCCTCTGGCTAACTGTAACAGAAACTCACTGACACTTTCAGACCACAACTTTGTATTCCGTCATTATTTTGACCATTTAGTCACAGATCCAAAACTCATGGCAGATGAGGGAGAAGAAAATTACGATTCTGAATATGAACCAACTACGCGTAAGGAGAGAGACAGTTTATATTCCTCACAGCCTTCACTTTACAGCCATCATAGTGATGCAGGATATGGCATGGAATCCACAGTATGAGTGCAGTGTATATATTTCACATTCAGATTACTGCAAGAGTTCTGGTAAATCTCATACATTACCATTCAGGACATCACGATAAGCTAAATTGTCCAGTCACATCAAAAGAGAGGAGGATACACTTAAAAACCCGGTAAGTAACCTTTAATACCAGAAGACTGCAGAAAGACCACATGGCAGAGGGGGTGTTGAAGTTTTGAAGGTGATGATAGTAGCAGATATGGAATAGAGAATGGTGAAAATATTGTACAGTTGATTATTTCATGACTAAATATGAACGTAGACTGTTCAAGGTATCCTACAGTCAACCGGAGAAGCTGGAATTATTGCCAAAAAAAATGAGGCCATAAAAGGCTGTTCAAGGCAAACACCTGTCTCGTGTTTGCACACATAGTTGCCTTGTGGTTCATGTATGATAGGCACAGGATGTTCAAGGCAGACATGTTGCTTTGAATATGGAGCATCACGTGCACAAAATTTTGGGCAGCTCTTGGATGGCACGTGAACTTGCTTCTGTTAAATATTTTTGTGAAATTGGCATAGTAAATGTGTAGTGAGGATTGGGCCAAAGTGCCACCCAACAATGTCACTTTACAGAGAATGATAGTTGCTTGGAAAGAAAGAGTCAATAGATAACAGTTTGGGTATTTGTACAACGACTAAAAAGTTACAACTTGTGCTCATGTGATATAAACATATGTGCAGTCGATCTATGAAAAAAAGTAAACAATGTGAGGCTTTATTACAGAGGTTAAGGAGCATTAATTTTAATTTTAAACCTGGCATAGGAGGATGTCACAAAATCCAGCATGACAGTGAAGGTGGAGACTGTATAGGTGATTTCTGATGGCTAAAGGATAGAACAACCCAAGATGTTGTATTTGTAACAGAATAGCAGAGCATGCTGTTGTAAAAAAATTAATTGGTGTTTTTCATGGAGTGTCCTGACTTGGGTCAAGGATATATTGTGGCTTATCTTTCCAGGTGTTGATAGTATGTAGGACATTGAGCAAACTGATTGACTGCTGCCTCTGCTCTGCTTACAAGATACTTTTCGATAAGCTGATTGTAGTTAAGGTTCTCAAAGATCAGCTGAATAGTGTAACAGAACAGGAATAGCATCCACATTTGGTGTGACTGATTAAATGAGTAATATGCAATTTCTAGACACACTAAAAGCTTCGGGAGAAGATAGGTGGGCGTTAACCTGATTGTCACTATCAACAATATAGAAAAATCACCTTTGGCTACTGAAGAAGAGACAGTTTACATCTGGGAATATCCAGAGTGTTGTGAAGTAAATTCTCAGCTCATTCACTCATACATTCCCACAGGGAAGTTCAACAAACAGACAAGGGGAGGATGCCATTTTGGAAATGGTCCCAGTCTGCCTAAACGATAGAAGAATCACAAGGTTTGGCCAATCAACTAGAAGAAGAAGACAGTATGGTTGACTTGGCTTTAGTTTCACCTGCACTTAGTCCACACTGTAGTTGGTATGTACTAGGTAATCATGGCAGCAACCACTGTCCCTTTGTTATTCTCTTTAAAAAGGGTGTCAGCACACATTATAGGATCAATTCAAACCCTTTTAAATACACATCGGAAAATGATGTCGTAAGCAAACTTAGGAAAATCAAAAGCCAACACTGTGAAGGCCAAAGAAAACAGCTGCAACAACCTCTATGGTGGAATGATGAAGTTGAGTCAGCGTGGGTACTTAAAAGACATGCTGTAAAGATCTGGCAGAAAGCAATGAAATCCACTGACTCTACTCCAGACCTACTGCGGGAATGCAAACACACCATGCAGGCCACAGCAGCCTTCAAAGCAGTTTTCCAGCAAACCAAGGACACAACCTGGGAAATATTTTGTCATGAAGTGTGCAAGGAAAGATCTCTTGCAAAATTCTGGTCCATACACAAGGCTATGACAGGTACTCCTAGACACCGAGGCATCAGAGACTTCCGTAATGAAGACCATGGAACAGGTCTGATGGAGAGAAAGGAAGAGCACTTCTTGACAGATACCTCAAGCAAATCTGCACACAAGACAATGCCACCCATCAGACTAGCATGGATATGGTCATTGCAACATGTGCCAGTACAGGCATTAAAGATGATCAGCTAATTACGGCCGCTGAAATTAAGAACATCATCAAAACGTCAAAGAAGTCTGCTCCTGGCCCTAATGGCATTCATTATAAGGAAATTGCCAAGCTGCCCACAAAATCCATGGAGGTTCTCCTATGTAAAGCCTACTGTGACAGCATCTGTAATGGTACCATCTCAGAAAGCTGGCTGCAAAGCTATTTAATTCTGCTAGAAAAACCTGGCAAAGACGCCACACACATAAATGGCTATAGAATCATAACAATGCAGAACACATTAGGCAAAACATTGGGAAAGATAATAGCGAGAAGACTGGCAAGCCATCTTGAAATACATTAGCTGATACCGTCCACACTTGGAGGATACAGACAAAACACAGAAATATGACGTAATGCTGCCGTTATTGCACGTGACACATTTGGAGGTTTTCAAGCTAGATTTGAAACATATGCAGTCACTATAGATCTGGAGGATGCATACAGCAAAGTTCCCTTCCACCAACTAATATGTCAGTTAACTGAACTCAACATCCACCCACATCTCATTCGATGGATATCTGCTGCACTTTTCCAGAGGTAGGTCGTGCTTCCATGTTATAGTTGGTCTTCTGAGCCGATAACAATACACCCTGGTTTGCCGCAGGGTTCTCCATTGTCTCCTATCCTCTTCAACATTTACACAGTCAAGATCACAGGAGAACAACTGAGTGGCAGAGGAAGAACTCCATCATATGCAGATAACAACCTCGTGTACCAACAGGGCAGGAACAGAGATGACATTGTTTTGGATCTACAACAGGAATTAGATCGCATATCATCCTGGTGCAACACCTCAGGGGCAACAATTAATCCATCAAAAGCGACAGTCACCTGGTTCTCATTGAATAACCACCTTTTCAAAACACAATGCCAATAGTAAAACTTTGTGGCGCTGATGTGGAGAGATCTGATTCCATGAAATACCTTGGTGTAACATTTGACAGATGCTTAGCATTTAAAAAACATGTAGACCACATTATAACTAAAGCCAAGAAAAATCTCTCTGCAATAAACATTATGGGAGCTGCAAACTTCGAGCAACGGCTACTTGTTATGTTGTTTCATGCGTTAGTTCTCTCCACTATTGAATATGCCTCGGCCATCATGACACTCAGCACCACACAGATGAACAGACTGGAAAAAATTGAAAATGAGGCAGTGTGTATTATTTTTGGATGCACTAGAGACACCTCCTGTAAATCCATGCAATACCTTTTGGATTTCCCCACAATGGAAAACAGAATCAAGCTATCCAGGGCTGTTGCTTTCCTCAAAGTGAAGTCAGACCATCGACACCCACTTTATGAGGAATTATTCAAGAAAAAAAAAAAAAAAGTAGACTCAAACGAGGCAAATCCTGGATGGGTCAAGCTGAGGATGCCATCAAACATGTTTGCCGCCTTACTGACATTAATTTTTGAATTGAATGAATAATTATGCTTCCCTCTCCAAACATTAATATTACAGTCCATATCACACTTGATGGAATCTGTAGAGAGCAGATTCCTGGCATTGTTGACACTTTAGTCAGAACACTGATTGACGAAAACACAAATGAAGGTGATACTATAGTTTACACTGATTGGTCAGTAATTTGGGGCCAGCGAAGTGCATGGGCCTTTACAGAAAGCTCAAGGAGGAAAACCATCAAGGAGATGAATGGCGCCTTTGCTGTTACAACTGGCGCCTTACAATGGAAACAATCGCAGTAACAGGGGCTTTAGCATGGCTTGGTACTAAAAAGTTCACACAAATGCATTCTTAGTGACTCGATAAATATGCTAAAAAAAAATCCAAGCTGAATTTATCAGGCAAGAATGGATAGCAACACTGTGCACTTAAAAAATATCTGCCCTAACCTTCATCTTTGTGCCAGGTCATGCGGGTATTCAAGGGTACGAGCATGCAGACTATCTTGTTAACACTGCGGTTGCTATGGCTGGCCCAGTACTGGACTGAAATGATGTTATCAATGCCATGCGCTGAACTTACCGTACTGAGGAGCACACTAAAGAACGTGACTCCATATCCCTGTCTAGACTGATGGACATGGGGGTGCAGCCTGGAGCTGCAAGAAGTGAACACTTCCCTAAGGGGACATTTCATTAACCAACACAGAACAGGTGTCATCAGTTGTTTTACACTTATTGAGCTTTTGAGGAGGAGATCGAAGCACCTATGAATCTGTCCAGAGTGCTGTGATAATAATCCTTTCTAATCGCTAATCACTATCAATATTCCCAAAGGGAATGATATGAAAGACTAACCTTGATATGCAACAGCCACTATGTTCCAGCTGAATAAGAGGTGGAAGAGCAAAATTTACATTGCAGTTGAGGCCAGTGTGTACATATCACTGGTATTCATTTTCTCATACAGATGTGAGAGTTGGGCTCTCACTATGGAAAAGGAAAGGAGGATTCAGTCTCAAATGTAAATGCTATGGAAGCATTTTAGGAATTAGTTATTTAGAACACAAAACTAACTGATAAGTCAGAGAAATATATACATTTGCAGGACATCAGGAGCCTCTCTTGGCAGTGGTGAAATGTCACAAGCTAGTTGGTTTGGACACTTGGTGAAACATGATTCGATTGCAAAGACTGTACTTCAAGGAACATTGGAGGGTAGTCAAAGAAAAGGAAGGCAAAGAAGAATCTGGAATGCAACATCAGGAAATGGACAAAACTAAGTTACACACTTATCATACACTTATTCATCAAGCAGAGGACAGAGAAAGATGGCGGGTTTTATGTGCTAGTGCTTCCACCGATACACTATCACAACTCTAACAAGTCAGGATTTATGTTACGTTACATTCCCAGAATATATTCACTCTTGTTACTGTTCC